GACAAATGCACTGAGTTGGCAACACTGCAGGCTGTAAACACCCCCAACTATATGCGCCAATTAATTTAGAAAGAGCAAATTGCCAATGGGGAAAATCCAACTCAGTCACATGGCATTCAGCTGACCAATGGTGGAAGTATGATCACTCAGTCAGGGACATTCATGATATAGGGCTGGTCCAGCCTGAAAGTATTCAAAATCTCCAACAATTATAAAATATTTACTCATATCTGTTCTATTCATGCAAACAACACACATAAAGCATATAGAGACTATGATTTGTATTTGATGTCATATTAAATTTGGCAAGACATCAAGAATGTGAAATTACAATTTACATGCATTAAGTGTAAGCCATCACAGCCCATAATCAGGGTGGCACAGTGGTGCACTGTTGCCTCACAGTGAGAAGGTTCTGGGTTCAAACCCCGGGTCTGTGTTCTCCCTGTGTCTGTGCGGGTTCTCTCCAGGTTCTCTGGCTTCCTCCCACAGTCCAAAAACATGCACAATAGGTTCACTGGCGAGTCTTAAGTGGCCATAGGTGTGAATGTGTGCATGACTGGTTGTTTTTCTCTATATGTCAACCAATCTGATAGACTGGCGATCTGTACAGAGTGTACCCCACCCTTGCCCATTGTCAGCTGGGATTGGTTCCAGCACCCTCATGACCTTTTAAGGATAAATGGTATAGAAAATGGATGGATGGAAATATACTGTATGTACATGTAGAATAAAATCAAATGTAAAAATTAATGAAACCTATTTCAAATTTGAACAATTTCATATATTGACATAGCCCATACAAATGTATGTATGGGCTATGTAGTATGTATGTAGTTTATATTGTACACATATTACATTAATATACATACATATATATATGTATATATATATATACATTCCAAAGCTGGTCAATGTGTTGAAATGATAGAAAGTAGGGTCCAAAAGTCTGAGACCACTTCCCCACAATGGGAAGACTTTAGACTTGTCTAAAATTTATGTTAATGAGATATTAATTTAAAAAAAATACATATAAGCATATAAAATTCTTTATGTTGTATGTTGTTTCAGTTAACTTGCATGCATAATTTAAATCTGTTAAATATAGCTTAAAGATCAGGTTTATTATTATTTGTTGTCTGCCGATTCAGCTCAAATTCCTGTGAGCTGGAATGAGCTGGAAACATGAAACTGGAAATTATGTACATCAGCTTCCCATAAAATGTGAGATCAATCAACAACATGGTGGCACTGTAATTAAGGATTTGAAATTAAATTTTGGAAAGGCCACACCCCCACACTGTTTGGCCAATTGACTTGAAATTTGACACACATGTCATAAGCATAATTTGAAAAACAGTAAAATTAATAGAACTTCATGAATTTTGTGATTAGGAACACCAAATTTGGTATACAGCCTTGGGAGATGAAAATACATATTTATTTTATTAATGAGCAACATCAATCAAAAAACATGACAAACTTAAGTTAGATAAGTTCTGCCACTGTGCCATGCTGCCAGTATGTCCCAGTGGCCACTCTAAGTACTATGGACAACTTTTCCAGTCTGTGTGGTCATGAGTTGAATTGAATACAATTGTTATTTGATGCCTTTTATCATATTGTATTTAATGGTTGATATTTGTATGTTTATTGTTAATCATTAGTGTCCACTGTACAGTAAAAAATAACTTGAGAAAAATGAGAAAAATATTAATAGGTATAAATTATGTCTGTCTGTCATGATGTCACATGTACGTATGTGTGTCACTATACACTACCGTTCAAAAGTTTGGGGTCACTTAGAAATTTCCTTATTTTTGAAAGAAAAGCACTGTTTTTTCAATGAAGATAACATTAAACTAATCAGAAATACACTCTATACATTGTTAATGTGGTAAATGACTATTCTAGCTGCAAACGTCTGGTTTTTAATGCAATATCTACATAGGTGTATAGAGGCCCATTTCCAGCAACCATCACTCCAGTGTTCTAATGGTACATTGTGTTTGCTAATTGCGTTAGAAGGCTAATGGATGATTAGAAAACCCTTGAAAACCCTTGTGCGATTATGTTAGCACAGCTCAAAACAGTTTTGCTGGTTAGAGAAGCTATAAAACTGACCTTCCTTTGAGCTAGTTGAGAATCTGGAGCATCACATTTGTGGGTTCGATTAAACTCTCAAAATGGTCAGAAAAAGAGAACTTTCATGTGAAACTCGACAGTCTATTCTTGTTCTTAGAAATGAAGGCTATTCCATGCGAGAAATTACCAAGAAACTGAAGATTTCCTACAACGGTGTGTACTACTCCCTTCAGACAACAGCACAAACAGGCTCTAACCAGAGTAGAAAGAGAAGTGGGAGGCCCCGCTGCACAACCGAGCAAGAAGACAAGTACATTAGAGTCTGTAGTTTGAGAAATAGACGCCTCACAGGTCCTCAACTGGCAGCTTCATTAAATAGTACCCGCAAAACGCCAGTGTCAACGTCTCCAGTGAAGAGGCGACTCCGGGATGCTGGCCTTCAGGGCAGAGTGGCAAAGAAAAAGCCATATCTGAGACTGGCCAATAAAAGGAAAAGATTAATATGGGCAAAAGAACACAGACACTGGACAGAGGAAGATTGGAAAAAAGTGTTATGGACAGACGAATCGAAGTTTGAGGTGTTTGGATCACACAGAAGAACATTTGTGAGACGCAGAACAACTGAAAAGATGCTGGAAGAGTGCCTGACGCCATCTGTCAAGCATGGTGGAGGTAATGTGATGGTCTGGGGTTGCTTTGGTGCTGGTAAAGTGGGAGATTTGTACAAGATAAAAGGGATTTTGAATAAGGAAGGCTATCACTCCATTTTGCAACGCCATGCCATACCCTGTGGACAGCGCTTGATTGGAGCCAATTTCCTCCTACAACAGGACAATGACCCAAAACACACCTCCAAATTATGCAAGAACTATTTAGGGAAGAAGCAGGCAGCTGGTATTCTATCTGTAATGGAGTGGCCAGCGCAGTCACCAGATCTCAACCCCATTGAGCTGTTGTGGGAGCAGCTTGACCGTATGGTACGCAAGAAGTGCCCATCAAGCCAATCCAACTTGTGGGAGGGGCTTCAGGAAGCGTGGGGTGAAATTTCTCCAGATTACCTCAACAAATTAACAGCTAGAATGCCAAAGGTCTGCAATGCTGTAATTGCTGCAAATGGAGCATTCTTTGACGAAAGCAAAGTTTGAAGGAGAAAATTATTATTTCAAATAAAAAATCATTATTTCTAACCTTGTCAATGTCTTGACTATATTTTCTATTCATTTTGCAACTCATTTGATAAATAAAAGTGTGAGTTTTCATGGAAAACACAAAATTGTCTGGGTGACCCCAAACTTTTGAACGGTAGTGTATATATATGTATATATATATATACATATACGTATATAAGGGACGCACGTCATTTAGATCGCTCCCTTTGCACCTGGACTTAAGATGAATTGACCTGTCGCAAACCAAAACTGTGGAAAGTGAACTATCGGAGGAGTGAACTCCTGGATAGAAACTAATGAAAAACTACTGGATCCTGTTGGAGAATAAAACTACAAAACTACTGCATCTTTGAACCTCTATGGAAAACCGAGGAGTTTGAACACAGTAGACCAGGAACACCTGCAGAGAGCAGCTGTCCATGTGCTGCTCGACAACCATGAAGGTAAGTAAATCACTTACTTGTGACTGAATCATCAATTCATCGTCTTAAAATCCTCAAGTCCATAAATCAGTGCAAACTGTTTAAATGTAAAGGTGGACAGTTCACACCATGTCATATATAGGCCTGTTGGAAAAACACAGATTTGATCGTTCCAGAGCCTCGGGGCCCTGACTACAAACACTCTGTCCCCTGTGGTTTTCAGCCGGGCCTCTGAAACAAACACTTCTGTTTATCCTCTCTGTTTATCCAGAGTCATAGAAAACATGAACCATTTGTGTTGAATTTTGGCATAATTTTTGTGTGAAGCCTTGAGTTATGGCTAAAAAGTGTTTTGTGAGGTCACACTGACCTTCACCTTTGACCACCAAAATCTAATCAGTTTGTCCTTGAGTCCTGGTGAATGTTTGTGTCAGATTTGAAGAAGTTCCGTCGAGGCGTTACTGAGGTATTGGAGGGACAACCCAGAAACAACATGCCTCTGGTTCTGACTGTTGCTGGTGTGAAGGAATAAAAACAATGTGTTAATAAAAAGTCAAAAGAAGAAGAATTATCTCAGAAACAGAGAGTTTACATTTTCCTTTAATGGTATGTGTTGGAAAAACATATTGTATGGATATAAGAGAAGTATATAAAATGATGTTGTTTTTCAGTTCCTCAGATAGCAGTATTATGTCAAAGCTTTTTACCTCATCACAGGTTCACAGGAAGAATCCTACAGAAGTTTATTTTGTCTAATTTCAATGGAGCCAGTAGGTTTCTGAAAGGATTAAGATAATTATGTGTTAGATAAACACACACTCTCACCCCTGGGACTGAATCAAGGAAAGTGTACTTTGAGGAAATAGGTAACAGGTGAGTCAAAACATGGAAAAACTCTAAAGAGCTAAAGGTGGGTGTTTTACCTTCTTTTAAAGCTGAAAAGTTCTCTTGGAAAAGAAATGAGCTGTAATTAGTTTTAAAGTTAGAAGAAATTGTTATCATATAGAAACTAACTGAAGTTTTACCAAGAACAAAATGCACTGGGCCTGTGAGAGCTCCAAAGCCTCAAATACAGTGGCTGTTTAAAAAGCTAAGATGCTATTGGATCAATAAAGTGTCAGAAAGAAACCTCGTGAAAGAGCAGGGAGATCATCTGCTCAGGTTTATGGTGGACCAACCTTTGTTAGGTCCCGCGTCCATGTTTATTAAACAGAAGGAACTCACCATCACTGTGGTGATATTTTAACCCCTTTTCAATCATCAACTCGCTCTGTCTGCAGGTTAAAACCGAACTGAGCAGCTGAGTGACAGAGGTTTAAGGAGAAGGAGACCTTGGTCCACTGACTCTCCCTGTGAAGAAGAGGTAAGGCTGGTGCACATGCTTGTATGAGGATGGTTTACACATGGTTGTTGCTATGATACAGTTACACTGCTTTTATGAACTGATAAATCACTGCTGTGTAGCAGTTACTGCAGCTATACGGTGTCTGAGTGAAGGGGTTGTTCATGTGTGTGTTCATGTGTTGTTCAGACGGATCTGAGCACAATTCAGATGTGATCATTTTTATGTTTAATGTATCCTGACATTTGAAAGACTTAATTTATCATTATTTAGCAGTATTCAGTTTCTCTCTGACCTACCCAGCTGTTAGCACGTTCCTCCTCTTAGCACAAAGTTTCCTCTTTAGTTGGATGAAGTCTGTAAATTGAAACATGAGCTTGAACATGGGATGAGTCGTCAGAATTATGTCAGGTCGTCTGTGCTGTGGTCTGGAATACACGAGGGGAAGTGATTGTTTGTTGTGTTGATTTCAGGAAAGCTCAGTTTGTGCTGAAGTAAATGGAGACTTGTCATTAACAGTGCACAGACGGCGATGGAGGAGGACATTCCCAGAGGAAAGGTCAACCACATAGATCTTTAACTGGGACAGAGTCCAACAGTTAAACTTGGTCAAAAAGTTGCTGCAGTATTTTCTGTTTCTGCATCAAGAACCATATAGATTTAAAACTCTTAATTAAAGAATTAAACATGTGATATGATGATAGGATATTGAAGGAGGTGGAGCTCAGCAGCAGGCTCAGCCCAATTTAAGCCCTATATATTTATATATGTTTTTACATTTATGTATATGGCCTATGGATTATGTTCATAAATCACAATAGATATAAAACTGTGTGTGTTCTGTCCTGCTGGGCTTCTTCATGTTTTGGACACATGTGACATGTTTGTGAGATGAACATCAACAGGTTTTTTTCTCCCAGAACTAAAGTCTGAATCTTGATCTACAGACCACGTTTGTGTTTTTACCCAGATGAACCAGACTCTTTTTGCCAGAGGAACATTTTGACTTGTTGCAGCAGGAAAATCACAGGTGGAACTAATAACATGAACAATGGCTCCATCCTAGCAGTTAATGTGATTACACACAGCTGCGCTGACAGGGCAGACGGTCTGTTGTGAGTAAGGTTGGTTCAGTTTCACACCCAGTGTCTTCCCTCGTCATCGAGGACAAAGAGCAGCAGCACAGATAAAACTGCCTGGATGAAGTTGCAGCCAAAGCTTTGTAAAAGATGAACCTTTAAATCTTGTTTATTCCTCATCTGTCTCATAACAAAATAAACAGAATTATCTTGATTAACTCAAGCGCCTTTAAAAAGCCACACTTCAGGGCAGATCAGTGACTTGAAAACAATGTGGTGTGAAGGACAGTCACACACTCATCATTAAACTACAAAGCAACAGCACACTTGTTCCACTCATCTCCTGGTTCCCCTCTCCGTCAGCTGTGCTTGCTCTGCAGGATGGTGCAGAGGGTGGTGGTGATCGGTGCGGGTCCCTCAGGCCTGACCAGCATCAAGGCCTGTTTGGATGAAGGTCTGCAGCCAACCTGCTTTGAGAGCAGCCATGACATTGGGGGTCTCTGGAGATTTAAGGTGAGGGACAAAGCTTTTATATGAACACTTGTATGTTATGAGGTCATATCTGCACTCCACCTGTATCACGGTCATGTGATTGTTGAGCATTTTTGTAATGTTAAACTGTGAAGGTGGAACTGACAGCAAATGAAAAGGAGTCCTGTAAGTTTCCAGGGGGATTGTTACTCTGCTTTTTGTTATCAACACCTTTGCATATAGTAGCCTACGTTAAATAAGTGTTGGCAATATTGTTTATTATTTAAATAAGAAAATGCTCACCTGGAATGACTGACATCCTTACAAGACGTTGAGCATAGCTTGCACAGGAAATCAAAGCTGTTGATTTATACCCTGATAATAAAAAACAATGATCTTAAAATCAAAAGCTTTTGCTGATCATTGTAATGTGTTTACATGCTACGACTGTCCACTAGACACCACCACGACCTTTTATTTTAAAAGTTTGGGAAATGTTACAGGATAAATGTAGGATTCTATTTATACTCTAATGGTACATGACAGCGATTGTATTTGAGACAATTTGATTTCAGACAAAGCTGAAAAGTGAAATTTGTGTCCATCACATCCTCCCCAGGAGAAGCCCGAGCCGGGACGAGCCAACATCTATCAGTCGGTGGTCATCAACAGCTCCAAAGAGATGATGTCTTTCAGCGACTTCCCTCCTCCCGCTCAGCTCCCCAACAACATGCACCACTCCCAGGTGCTGCTGTATCTGCGCCTCTACGCTCAGGCCTTCAAACTGCTGCAGCACATACACCTCCAGGTTAGTGGTCCGCAGGTTCGTTCATAAAGAAACACAGTCAATAATGTAACATGAGTCTTTTGGGACTTTGACTCATGGTGAATGTGAAAATGATGGAACTAGATAGTAATAAAAAAAAACATGAAATGACAGAAATGAATCAAAAATATGCTCCTAATAATGTGTGACAGAAGTACAGTCATTCCCCCTGTGTGCTTTGTCGCTTTTTAAAGTCACAATCTGTCGTCCAATGACATCTGAGTATTTGATTTTCATCAGGAAAATATATGTAATATAGACCTACATTTTCTATTATTGTGAATTGAACCGTTTTGTTCAATGTATAAACAGATGTGCTGGTCCTTTATTAGTGCCACAGTGATGTTACAGCAGCAAAAGGAACAGTACAAAAAAAGAACTGCAAAATGTCAAAATCAAATGCAAAAAAGGACAATAAAAAGATAAGACAGATAATAATAATAATCAATAATACTAATGATAATAGTATAGTATAGCATATAGTTTGTACAAATGGGTATTAAAATGTGTCAAAAATGTGTGTGTGTGTGTGTGTCTCAGACTACTGTGCTGAGTGTGAAGCCGACCCCAGACTTTGCAGTGACAGGCCAGTGGGAGGTGGAGACAGAGAGGGGACAGGGTCAGAGGAAGACTCATGTTTTCGATGCAGTGATGGTTTGTACTGGACACTTCACCCAGCCTCACCTGCCACTCACAGACTTCACAGGTACCAGGAACCATAACGCACTGCATTTCATTTCACTTTCACACTAAAGCAAAGAGTAAAATAATAATAAACATATCATCTTTTTTCTTCTTCCACCTCAGGTATTGAGAGCTTCGAAGGCAGATGTTTCCACAGCTGGGAATACCGCAGCGCTGAGGGGATGCAGGGGAAAAGAGTGCTGGTGATTGGGATTGGAAACTCTGGAGGTGATATTGCTGTGGATATCAGCAGAGTTGCTGAGAAGGTACTGGAGAACTGTTTGGTCTATTTCAAATTGAGAAGTGTTGTTTTGTATCAAATCAGTGTTACCTTTGACTGAATTATTAAACAGTCAGTGAGTGTAAAAGATAATAAGCAGATGGATATTAGCTCTCTGTGGTCTGACCTGCAGGTGTACCTGAGCACCAGGAGTGGAGCGTGGGTAGTCAGCCGTGTGGGACAGGGGGGACTTCCAGCTGATCTTGTCGGGACGTCTCGATTGCATGTGATGATGCAGAAGCTCGTCCCCTCCTGGTTCAACAGGATGTTGGAGAAGAAGCTGAACGAAGCATTTGACCACACATTATATGGCCTGAAACCAAAACACAGGTAGCAAGACACTGTAGATTAACATCTGTATTTCACTGTGCGGCCAAAAAGTTTAGATTCTGTGCATCAGGCTGTGATTTCATTACACCCCACAATATGAAAGTGTTGGCAGAACAAACACACTGATGATCCTTGCTGCCTCACCAGTAATGAGGTCCTTTATTTGAAGTTGTTTCATATGTGGCGTGTGGGTCTTGTGTTGGCAGATTTTTTGCACAGATTCCTGTTGTGAATGATGACCTGCCGGCTCGGATCATCTCAGGTCGTGTTCAGGTTAAACCAAATGTGAAGGAGTTCTGTGGATCCAGTGTGGTCTTTGTTGATGAGAGCGTCATAAACGAGGTCTGTGTTGGTACATTTCTTATACTACAGGTCAACATTCGTACCTAATCCATCGGCAGATAAAAAGTGTGAGATGTAATCTTCCATTCTCCCTTTTGTTTCTATGAATCATATTCTTTGGTTATAAAAACAACACAAGTTATTGAAAATGTCACAATCACAGAATGTCAATGCTCATACTCTAATCTTGAAGGTTTGCATGTGTGTCATCCAGGTGGATGTGGTGGTGTTTGCCACAGGGTACAACTACAGCTTCCCCTTCCTGCCCTCAGCTCTGCAGGCTAAATGTGGCTACAGGCTGCGTCTCTACAAACACGTGTTCCCCCCTGGACTCACCAGACCGACGCTGGTGGTGGTGGGCTTCATCCACGGCTTAGGGGCGATCAACCCGCTGGCTGAGATGCAGGCCCGCTGGGCCACAAGAGTTTTTAAAGGTGAAGCACAACACAGAAGCTTTGTGCTTTACACCATCAATACAATACCTTACCTTGATGGGAAAAACATTTATCAATACATACCTTTAAATTGTTTGGGTTTAGGGTTAGTATCAGTATTAAAGGTTCTATAAAAGATTTCAAATAATAACACAGCAGCAAACAACTGTTTTCTATTCAAATATATAGTGAATTAAGGTCGCCTGAAGAGGGAACGAAACCACACCCCCTCTGTCTGTGTTGTAATCTGAGTTTCTGTGGTCTTTGTTTTGGTTTCTGGTCTGGCATCAAATGCATGTTAGTGCATGTACGTGTGCATGTTAAGCATGCTAATCCCCCCCCCCCCGTTAAACAGTTGGTTCTCCCCATGTTTATAAGGACACAGGGACCGCCCACAGGTGAGTTGGCACAGTGTAGTATGCAGCGTTCAGGTGAAAGTGACTTTCCAGAATCTTCTCCACTGAAGAAAGCTAAAGGCTCAAACGGTTCCAACAAAGACAGAGATGAGACCAAAGCACAGGTGGACTGGTCATGAGGGCTACCAGCTCAAACCCTGGTTGGCTGGTGGACCATCAAAACATACATAAAGTTTTCAAAAATTTTGCCGGCTCCATCGTTGTCTTCACTTACTCTGTCAGTGTTTTTACCAGTTCCATTAGTGTCTTTACTGGCTGTGTCAGTGTCATTCCTGTGACTGCGGTCCCTGTGGATTATTCCAAGGCTGAATTTCTCTCCCAGTCCAGCTGTGGAAATAATACTGGTCTGACTGTACGGAGAGGAGAACCCTACAAGCTGCTACAGAGTCCAGCTGGACTCTTCTTTCTTTCATACCCCACACTAGCATATGCCAATGCTAGTGTGGGCTAATTGTTGGGATTAGATTGTTTTTGTTGGCTCTCATGTTCACAAGGAAACTGATGTCCCATCACAACAACTCAGTTATTATACCATTACTTATGAAGAGGTGCACCTCAGTAGCAGCTCAGTGCGCTATGTCAAAAACCCCATAAGCACAAGTATAACTCTATCTTCACCAGGTTTCTATCTATGTATTTAAATTTTTTCTCGGCTGCAGGTTTATCAGCCCTCCCCTCAGAGGAGACCATGGTGGAGGAAATTCAGAAAGACACCACAGGGATGCACCAGAGGTAGGAAATGATGATTAATTAAGCTGTCTAGATATGCCCATAGATAATCAACTCTAATGTTGTGAACTCTGCAATAATGTTAAGGAAGACCACTAACCTGGTTGGAGTACAAAGGTCAGGACATTCACATAAAGTATCTCTTTATGCAGATGACCTTATCCTCTTTCTCTCGGACCCATGTACTACTATACCCATTGCTCTTGAGCTTATCACCAAGTTTGGTCAAATTTCAGGATATAAGTTAAATTTAACTAAAAGCGTTTTATTCCCCATAAACGACAAAGCACGACAAATATATTTGATACATTTTCATACATGTGTAATAAAGTAATCAATCCCAACCCATTGACTGCATTATTTGGGGTCGTCCCTCAGGAGACACCAATATCTAGGCACCAGGCTGAGGCTATAGCATTCTCCACTCTGCTAGCTCGACGTCTGATACTCCTTAGTTGGAAGAAGGTCATGTCCCCCTCTCATAGGCATTGGGTGGAGGACGTGATGTCCCACCTCAAACTTGAACAACTTAAATACACTGCCCGGGGCACTACCCATAGATATTATAAAGTCTGGCAACCATTTCTATCGTACTTTGAAGATGAACTCCCCTTAACATAGTGTAGCCACCCCCCCCTTTTTTTGTGTGTGTGTTTATATATTACACTCTATATGCAGTTATGTGTGTATATACATACATATGTATGCGTGTATGTATGACTACTTTGTTGATACTGAGCAACATATCCGTTTTATTTACTTGATTTTTTCATTTATTTTCAATTATCATTATTACTATTAATATCAATATATTATATATATTAATATATCATTATTGTTATTTATATTTTATTTCAGTTTTCTATTTATTTATTTTGCTTTCCCTCTTGTCTGGGGTATTGAGTTCTACTGTGAGTGTATAATGTGAAAATCAATAAAAATATTTGAATAATAATGTTGTGAACTCTAACCACACACATTTATCATTATATAAAACCCTTTTTGGTGTGATACTCCCAAGTCTGATAAATGTGTTACGTGCTGATTATTTCCTCTGTCTCATTATATTCATATTATATTTGATGAAATACCGGCTTATTTTATGTCGAGCACTTGTGACTGTTTTTCTTTTTCTAATTTTGGTTTTGTTTCCGTCCTTTAGGTTTTCCTGCTCTGACCGTAACCCCCTCCAGGTGGACTACATCCCTTACCTGGACTCCCTGGCAGAGCAGGTGGGGGCTCGGCCAAACATACCGTGGCTCTTGATGAAGGACCCCAGGCTGGCACTGCAGGTCTTGCTGGGTCCCTGTACTCCGTATCAGTACCGTCTGGAGGGACCGGGCAGGTGGGCTGGAGCCCGTCAGGCCATTCTCACTCAGTGGCAGCGGGTGGTTCAACCTTTCAGGACCAGAGTGGTACCACAACCAGAGACCAGACCTTCTTCCAGATGGAGCATCGTAGTGGTTTTCTCAGGAGTCACCCTGCTGTGCTGCATCTGCTACAATAAGCCCCTCTTCAGATCTCCTCACTGAGCTGTGTGGTTATGGACTTTACTGAAGCAGCAAACCAATGAGCTGCAGACAGAACCTGCTTTTAGAATAAGTTGACTGTTTGAATGACTAATAAAGTTTTTAAAATAAACATGTTAGTTTATAGTAAAACTCTGTACAGTGTTCTGAACTCTCATACTGAATATTTTACTTCTTGTAAAGCAGCTTTGTTGGAAACTGCCCACTGTGCTAACTGCTAATTAATACTGACAGTTCTCTGAGTGGTCAGTATGTGTGAGGACATCAAATACATTTAATCTTGCCTGTTATGTTATTGTAATCAAACCTGTTGTAGGGCATAATGAAGGGTGGAGCCAAGCTGCTGTGATTCTGACCTATAGATAAAAACCCCTCCTGTACCGCAGGCCTGAGAGCTCAACACACTGCAGCTTCAAAAAACACATGCAACCAGACAAAACACAAACAAATTCAGAAAACATCCTCATCAGTTTGACAACACGTGAGCTGCAAATACAACACAAGCAAATACACAAATGCGCTGCAAGTAGCACAGATGACAATGTGTTCACGGGGAACATAAGTGATGAACCCGACTGGGGTCATAAATGACCTCAAACAGACATTTGACTATTTTCACGCACATCACGAAACTACAGGTAACACTGTAACATGCCTCTGTGTACCTGGAAAAAACGGGATGTTTTTTATTTGATTTTTGAAAATTAGACTGTTTAAAAAATAAGGTTATAATTAGATCAAGACAGCAAAGGAAAACATGTTCAGCAAAAACTAAATGCGGCCAAAGAAGCGTGGGAGTGAATTTTTATTTATTCAACTAATAATTTTCCTTTCACAAGCTCACTATGCCATGAATGTGATGAGGGCCATGTCACTGCCCACACACCCGCGTCTTTGTCAGTGCTGTGTGCAAGATTATCTTTTAGATAAATATTGATTTAACTGCCGTTGTATTTAGGCCCTCCCCCTTAATGAAGAGACCCCCACAGCCGCGAGTGTGACTCCACGTGCGTGTAGGGACCGGATTGGTATTGGGCCTTTTATGCGCACTTCTTTCGGGCAGACTGGGGGTGGTTTAGTGCATTGCTGCCCCCCACCGGTGAAACAACGCCATTACTACTTCAGCACTGAGATCTATATCTTGTGATACAGAATTATGGATTTGAGGAAGTGAATTACCTGCCTAGCTCTTTTTCTGAAGCAATCCATCACCAAGCAGTGTTGTCACAGTCCCATTTTGCCGTGGTCCACGAATAACCTTCTCCTTCCTCCATCATAGAGTGGGCAATGCATCGTGACGTTGATTCCAGGACTCCACAGTTTTCACAGTTGCCGTCTCTATGCTTTCCCACCAGCACCAAACCACTCGCTAGTCCACAGTGTCCCAGTTTTATTCTTGTCAACTTAACTTCATCTTTCCAAGGCATGGTCACTCTGTTGCCAGGTTTTACTGATGACTGTATGTTGTATAGTTTCCTTCCTGTAATCTCTGCATCCCACTCTTGCCATAGATAATTCAGTCTCTCGCTGATGGTGCTGCAGCACTCCATCCTGCCAAATGGTACCCTATCCACCACCTTATTACCCGCAAGCCCAAGATGTGCTGGCACCCACAGAAAGCCCACACTACATCTCTGTCTCTCCAGTTTAAATACCATCATTAAGATCTCCATAACTATATCTGGTCTGGCTCTTACCCCCTCCTCCCCTCCCACTGCCATCAAGGCAGATAATGAATCAGAACACAGAACTACTCTATTGAACCCCCCTTCTTCCACCCACCACAGTGCCCATGGTAAAGTGACTAGTTCTGCAGAGAATATAGATATCCCATCGGGCGACCTTTTAGTGACCATTATTTCCATTATTTTACAAATAACTACAGTAAGGTCAACTGGCAAGTGACCCAGGATTACCAACTTCATTCCCTGATTTCAAAATCGGAACAACCACAGCGTGCTTCCACTCAGCTCAGACGAGCCCTTGTTCCCACAATGTATTTATCAGCAATAACATTTCCTCTAATGCTAAGTCATCCATGTGCTTAAACACCTCATATCCCAGGCTGTCTCTTCCAGGGGTAGTATTTGCCCTGTCCTTACTGCACCCTCCAACTCCTGCATAGAAAAGAATGTATTGATCCCTTCACTTTTATGAGTATTTGCTTCAAGTTTAAGCCCCTCATGCTCAAGCATTTTTTTCCTCCTCAGCTGCCCCTCTCTACCCACATTGCTAGTGCTGTGTACTCTCTGAAAAGTCCTAACTAACAGGTCAGACTTCTCTCTATTGCTCACAACTTCTGTGTTTCCTTCCTTCAAAACAGGAATAGGCAGCCCCCTGTTAATCCCTGCCATTCAATGAATCATACTCCAGACTTGCTTAACAGTTGTTAAGCAAGTCTTATATTCAATAACATGGTTCTCAAAGGGACTCTTTCTAAGCTGTCTACACGCTCTGTTACGAGCCCGGATTGCCTCACTGCAAGCCTGATTCCACCATGGCACTATATTCCTCTCTTTCTTATTCCCCACAACTGGAATTGACTTTTCAACCGAAAAGACTCACTCCATTCTTCTACACTTCCCTCACTTATAACATTTCTAAGTTTATTGAAAGTTGTTCTCTAAACTTATCCCACTTTGCTTTGGAAAAATTAAACCCTCTCGCAATACTTTCCCTCTCCACCTGCAAAACCCTTCCAAACTGACTTAAAATAGGAAAATGATCACTCCCAATTTCCAACCTTAAATCTTGTCGACATACTATCATTCAGCAAAACTAACAGGGACTTCAGGTGTTTATAACCTCGTGTGTTCCCCAGTGTTGACATTTTATGTTCCACGTTCACAACTTCTCTTTGTGTGTATTCCGAGTGTGTGTTGTTCGAATAGGGTAAGGAGATTGGTGATGCCCATTGGTGTTCAGTGAGCGGTGGCTGGCTCATTTCAATTGAATCATTACTCCAGACTTTACTTAACAGTTGTTAAGCAAGTCTTATGTTCAATAACATGGTTCTCAAAGGGGACTCTTTCTAAGCTGTCTACACGCTCTGTTAGGAGCCCGGATTGCCTCACTGCAAGCCTGATTCCCACCATGGCACTATATCCTCCTCTTTCTTATTCCCCACAACTGGAATTGACTTTTCAACCGAAAAGACTCACTCCATTCTTCTACACTTTCCCTCACTTATAACATTTCTAC